GGATGGATGGATGGATGGATGGATGGATGGATGGATGGATGGATGGATGGATGGATGGACGGACAGGCAAACAAACATGGCACCACCTTGGAGTTCCAGGGAACATTAGTAAAAAGCACTGATTTCCACCTCTAGCAACTGGAACCAGATAAAGGTATTTCCAGATCAAACTTGGTAATTGTCACCCAGCCAGAAAACCCCAAGACTTTCTTGTGGAATAGATTGATTGTGTTTTTCCTCCTTGCCCTTTCCCGCTTGTAATAAAGAGGCATGATGTCAGCTATGTTCTAGGGAGTTTGCAGGATACAGCAGTCGCCCAACAGCTGTGTGTATGTTAGTATCACAAACATTTCCCCTCGGTTTCTGAATTGCTAAAATGGAAGAGAGCATCAAGAGGGAATGTGTTCATGCTGAGTTGCGTTCGGTCATCAGATAATTCTAGCAGGTGGCGAAGTGTGACTGCTTAAAAACAATTGGTATGGTGCTGCTTGATCAATACACCTACACCTACATTATCATTATGATTTATCCTTGTATTGTGGTAACTTTGATTAGTTGTGGGTTGTTTTAATTTGTTTATATTTATTGTGGTTGTCTTACCAGTTCAGATTTTTTGGTCAAGTGTTTTATAGTCTCTACTGATTTAACGATATAGAAGTATAATGAACAACTGTAATATTTGTTTTTGTTTTTGTTAGGAAAATATCCCTGTAGTGCAATACTGTTTGAGAATTCTTGCTTTTTCTTGCTTTTCTATAATGTGATGCAGGCGACTAGTCTGTGACTATAAATACAATGTGTTTACTGTCATGTTTTGAATCCTTCATATTAAAAGTTAGCCTTCAGTTATGGCTGCCCTCTATTATACAGGGAGAAAGAAGCTTCACCTAGCAAAAACATTTATTCTTTCAAAGAGATTTCACCACTATGCCCTTCACTGTTGAAAGGGTAGTCCCACTTTTGACTGAGGTCTCTAGAGTTTTGTATTAATAAGCTGTTCAGAGTGTTCAAGAAACTAGGTGGTTCTGACAGATGTTCATTCCCATTCTGTCAGCAGCTTTGCAACAAGTCTTCTGAAATTTGGAATATATTTTCCCAGCCACTGTTCTAAATTTCTGTATCAATCCTATAATCTCAGCAGGAACATCTGAAAAAGTACGTTGGCTTCTATTAGACTGTACAATCTTCCTCCACCCAGGTCATCTGAATGATACCCACCTTGTGTGCTTTCAAACCAAGGAGGATACTTTAAATGCTGCTGTTGAGGTTGAAAACTGATGTAATGTTAAACCACATTGGGCCATTAGTCACTGAGCTGGACAGAGGCAGAGGACTTGGCTTGTGTTATAGTATTTAACTACAGGAGAGAGAAGTTATCTGTTCTTGGTTCCCAATTTATCTTCCAAAGTCCCAGTGAAAGAACCTTCTTGAATATAGCGGATGTGGAGGCTAGGAAAATATTTAAAACTTGGTAAAATGTTAAATAGGGACATTGCATGACTCTAGTTACCTCTTAATTTTGATTTGGGTTTGTTTGGAACTGGAAAGATAGCTCTAGGGTGAGATTTAAATGGTTCGGTTTTTAAAATGGAGTACCTCAACAGCTTCTTGAAGAAATCTCAGTTGTACCAAGTTATCATGTTATGTCAGACATGTGTCTCTTTGGTTTATGGCAATCATGTGTCTAATTTTTATCCAGGCCCCCATTTTGTCTGCAGTCATGCTTCTCTTCCTTTCTAGAGCTCTGACTTTAGAAATAACTCTAAATGAAATGTGTAACCATAAAGTTCCTGTTTTTTTAATATAATACGATTTCCCTCATTCTCCACCTATAATAGTGAGATTTTTTTTTAGTGAGTAGTGAAGGTAATTTTGGCAGCTAATGCTAGAAATTGCTGCTTATGCAAGAACTGGGAAAGAACAACCTTGAGGCAATGGATTTTAGATGCTACCATGAAGAACATTTGCTTCTACGCAAATGAAGAGCTCGGTGTTCCCTTAATTACTCACTTGGACAACTACCTTTGAATTAATGTTACTTAAGAAAAACATTCACCTACAAGGGGAGCCAGCACTGGAGGACAAGATACGTTGCATGAATCAAGCACATTTGCATGACTTAAGGTACACAGTTTTTAAAGTTTCCAGTAGAAGAGAATATCTGTAGTTTAGGATTGAGCTGTGGAGTTCTTGGTGCTCTCTGAGCTTGGCTGTTTGCTTGCAGACAGTTGATAACCCAACTAGGTAACATCAGCACTGCAATGATGATGTTACCTAGTTGAGTAATGAAATGTCTCCAAGCAAACAACCAAGCTCAGAGAGCACCAAAAACTGCACAATGTTCAAAGGAACATTGCTCATTTTCCTTTCTCTTACTTTGGCTGTTGCAGCTAGCTGAAATTCAAGACATACTGTGATAACATATCACCCTAGTGTTCACCAGTTGGTTTATTTTTCAATTAATGCATCAAGTCTCTGATGAGAAGTGTTATGGAAAGGGCCATTAAGAACAGTTTTCAAAAGAAAACATGTTTGTAAGGACATGGGGAGAGACCTAGATTTAGGTACCCAATGGATAGTATACCCATAATATTTGGTTTGTAGTTTCTGCAGTCTAAAATAGGTACACATTAACACCTCACCTAGAATTTAGCAGTTTAAAGGGCAGCTCCTATTTCTGTTTTGCTTATTGCACAACAGACCTTCACAGAGATGTAACTCTGCTTGTTGTTTATAGGCAAAGACCATTATATCACTGTACCCTTCCTTTCCCACATCATTGCATTTATTGCACTCAGCTATTTGATCATTTTTGCCAGGTGTTACTATGAGTGTGGAGTAGCAAAGTGATTGCTAAAGATGCAAAGAAAAATCCTTCTAGAAGGATGGCTAAGTTGCCCCAGTTCACTTCAATAAAACTGCTACCACCCCATTCATTCAGATGAAGGCAAGTAAATGGGTATTAGCTACAGAAGTAAGGAAAAGTGTATCAAATCCTCTGTAGTTGAAAAAACTCTGATTGTCTGTATGTTGACTGCATTGTATTTGTTTCTGGTATACAAAAGGCCTGGATTGAAAGAAGCATGGCAACAAGGGACTTTTTTAATGTCTCAAACAGCTTCCACCCACATCCCATTTCAGGCCTGAGAAGTTTCAAAGGCAGTTTGTAACACGTTGTAAGAAAATCCTCCAAAATTGTATTGGGAAGGTTCGAGTGTTTGAGCCTGTCTAAGAGTAAAGTTTTGGATATCATCCCGTTTGAGGAGTTTCCTGATAGGAAGATCCACCAGAGGAGCAAGGAAACATAAATGATTGTAACGTGAGCAGCAAATGGTTGTAGGTCTTTTCTGAATGATGAACTGAGCTCTTCCACTATGCTGTGGAATGACGCTGAATTGATGCTAGAGAATTGACTTGAAGCAAGTTTGTACATCTGTTTGCTTTTTGGAAGACCTATGAATGCAGTTCATGTTCCTGAAATTTGATAGTAGATCTGGTCATGCTGTCAATCATAGAAGTGATGTTTCTAAGTCAACTTAGATGTAGGGGAAAAAATAGGCATCAAAGTATTGAAGGCTAATTCTGCATAAACTGAGAAATTGGTGTTGTAAAGATCCCAAATTTCCTCTGTTGGTCCACACACATCCCACACACCCCAAAAACCAGACCTACAGACAGATTTACAAGAGCAAAACTAGATGTATTTGAAATGTGTCTTTCAGAAGCAGATCATAGTGGTTGTTTCAAACCCTGTAATCTGCTTCTGAAAGACACATTTCAAATTCATCTAGTTTTGCTCTTGTAAACAGTTTTACTTCTGAGTTGGTAGAGCTTTTAAGTTGAGTGATGTGCCCAGGACTTTATTATTTCATTCTTGACTGTATATCCAGAGTTGAGCAAAGTTGGAGCTGAAGCAAAGTACGAACTAAGTAGAGTGCCAGCAGCCGTCACAGGAGATCTAATCACAATCAGCCATTTTGGCAAATTCTGGCAGGTCATTCTCTAAAGAAACAAGCTGGTAAATCTTTTATGACATTTACAATGAGGCAGAAAAAACATAATCTCATACGGCAGGAGTAGAGCTTACATGTATTATATGTTGTTGTTTTTTAGTTGTAAATCATCCAGAGTCATTTACAAGTTGGGTGGCCTGTAAATCAAATAAATATATAAATGATATTGATTTCCACACCTTGGCTTTATACCCCTGTACTCCCTCCGAGTTTCCTCAGTGAGAAAAACATGTATAATTTTATGATGGACTTAAAAGTATTGTTCCTTCTCAGATTGTCACTGGAATTCTGGCTTCGCGATATGTATCTCTTAGTTATCACCTGCCTGGACTGTGGCCCTTGCTCTTCCAAAAAGTTAAATGGGGCTCCTAGAGGAGGTGGTACATTCCTGCTTTGTAGGCCACCTTGGCTGGGAATTTTGGAAATACCTGTTGCAATATAACTGGAGGGCACCAGTCTGCATATTGCCAATATATTTTATGCTACATCCATACGAAGCTGCTATAAACCTATATCATGTCTGGGTTAGATAGAAAATGTGGTTGAACAACATCTCTTATTGAGGAAGGAACAAAGCTTTTGAATGGTAGGCTGAGAAACAGGGAAAGTAGGGAAGATTTTACAGTTCTTGTGTCACAACTCTTCATTAGCCCAAAGTGTGCCCATGTCATATGCGTGTTATGGCTGTGCTGTCACTCCCTTTACCTCTTTGACAATTGCCCCAAGACATACCTAAAGCCACACAGTAAGTTTATATCAAGCACAGATGGACAATTAAAGTTACCCCATGTAGAAATCTTAAACTCTGCCTCTATACAGGTTGTCCTTGTTTAGTGACTGCCTCACTTTGTGACCATTTGAAGTTACGGCAGTGCTAAAAAAAAACTTAGCTACCAGCTCTCACATTTATGACCTTCGCAGCATCCCTCTGCTCTTATTTTCACTTGCTTCTTTACCCCATACCAAGTTGTCCTCAAAGAGAAAGAGAAAGAACCCCAGTTCAGCTGAAGGAAGTAGCAAGAAGTAAAGGAAAACTGAAATAAAACCTTAAGCACAGTCACGATCATGTGATTTTCAGTTAGCAACCACTTTGCTTAATGACTGTGTTGCCAGTCCCAATTGCAGTCCCTAAACGAGGACGACCCATAGACTTCCAGGCTGTCCTAAGTTTCCAGCAAAACAGCTCTCCTGTCCCTTTCATATTAAAGATCATTTTATAACCATATCCTTTAAGATGTTGTGTTCAGTGTTAATGATTTGGTGCTTCCTGAGTAACTTTCCCTGGGTTGCTAACAAAGATTTTCTTTTTATCTCCCAGGCCAATATGGGTATATGCTTCCTTGTTATCCTATTCAGCAGCTGCTTAACATACCTAGGTGTTGCCAATATGACTTCAGGTGAGTTATACATGTGTCATTTTGGGAGGCTGGCTGAATGCAGATATAACATGACCTGTTGGGCATATGTCTGTATGGCTAGCTTCTTGGCTATCGGTATACTTTGATTTCATTACCATATCTCTGTGTTTGCAGGCATGTACTTAAGTCTGTATCTTTAAAACAATATGTGAAGTGCCAGATGTTTTAATTCCTTCTTGCCCTGGTTCTTCTAAGGATAAGGGGATTAGACAGTTGCTGTTTTATGTACACACGCGTGTATGCTCTGAGCTGTCTGAGCAAACCTAAGCCGGAAATAGAAGTCAATTATTTGTATCACAGAATGTGAATCACTGTCTTTCAATAAATGGAATAAAACAGCATCATAGGATAGCCACAAAAAGCTATAAACTAACTATATTTTAAGGTTACACACACTTTACATTTTAAAGCTGCCATTTAGTTTGACATCATCAGGAAACTAGGATGGTGTCCAGATTTGGGGCAGCAAGCTAAACTCTGAGGAAAGATGAGAATGGGTTGGAAGGCAGTTAAGTACCTGTAATAAATATTAGGACACTAATTCTGGGAAGGTTGCACAAGTTAATCTTGCGTCCTACATTGTGAATACCATAATACTGAAGATATGTTCCATTGCTTACTTCTTTGGCTTAATGACTGTTGATTTCCTGGGAAATCTGTCCTTTAAATGGGGCTTTGCAAGGAGAATGAGGAGCTTTTCATAAAAGCAGCATATCTTGGAAATGCCCTTTTTTATTTTATTCTTTTGTTCCTAGTACAACCGTCGACTGAGAGTCCCTCGTCCACCAGTTTAGTGAAAACTGTCAGTACACAGTCAAGTAGTGCGAAGCCCACAAGCTCAATGAAGAGGCACGCCACATCACCAACCGTGTCTCCGGTGGTGATACAAAGCCACACCCCTCTGAAAGAGCCAGAATTCACAACCACCACAACCATCACGTTGCCCAGCGTGGGAGTGGCCACAACCTCACACAAAACTCTGCCCACTTCTGGGCCCACCGCCATTCCACTCAATGCCACAGAATCACCTCCCAGTGTCACAACTACAAATAAAACCTTGATGACTGTGGAGACCAACGTCACAACTGCACTAGCTACTTCACAAGCCTTTAACACCGCAAGTATGGAATAACTGCTATATTTAATTTTCTTCCATCAGGATATTACAGTTAGCAGTTATGAATTAGCAGTTAGCAGCTGTGTCTGTTAGTAATGGCTGAACCAGCTCAACAATAAGGCTGTCTTGTACTAAAGTGTTTCTATCCTGAAATCTAGTGTTTTTTCAGAATCGTTGCTTCCAGTGGGCTAGAAACAACAAATATTGGGGTGTTGTTATTTTGTTCTAATTCAGAATATCAGCCTAGATGATTGGTTCTGCTCTCTTATCTGTGCACCTCAATGGATGACCCCTAGTTTGCATACCAGATTTTCTTGATCAAGAAGATTTTTTGTTTTGGACTGTTTTTCATCAACTTTAAAGCTTTGGCTTCATAATTGTCATTGTACTCTGGATCCTTTAGTTCAGATTAGATATTACTTGAAGACACCATTCTCCATGGCATTTATTTATTAATCCATTTAGAACATTTACACCGCCCAAATCATCAAACCACACATGGACATGGTACAAAATCATAAAAATAATCCATGCAACAAAACATTATAAGTTCCCCACCCCCCAAACAGAGAGTAAATAATTCTCCCAAAACATATACAAGAAGAAGCCACAGCGGACTGGTCACTACTAAGCTTCAGAAGCCTGCCTAAATACAGTTCCTTTTGATTTTCAGTCCTAAGAGCTAGGCTCTTCTTTCCAAGGAAGGTGTTCTGAAAGCCTGGGGGCCACCACAGAGAAGACCTGCCTTCTGATCAGACCCACCCCCCAAAGGGGCTGGACCTTGAGCAGACCTCTCTAGACAACAGGCCAGGAATGACAGGGTCCTTTTGGAGAAGCGATCCCTGCTACAGTGTATAGAGAGGGTTTGTCCTTTCCTGCCCATGCTCTATATGAATAAATGTCCAGTTTGGGAAAATCTGTTTGAAGAGGGAACTTCCAGAGCATTGATCTCCTCTCATTCTCATCCCAACGGTCATAAAATATGGAGTAGCATGTCCGCTCGCCAAAAGCACATTGGTAAAATCATCTTAAAATATTCATGTTCATTAAACTCTCTGGTTCCATGTGAAGTCAGCTTTTTGGGGTGTGGATATCTCTACAAAATGACCATCAGAGAGCTTACCCATTCTCAAAATTCTGGAACAGATACTCATGGTCCCCCCTCTTCCATAGGTTGCTCCTTCTACCCTATTTATGTTTGCTTTTTCTGAGCGTGTGGGCATGCCTCCAGTGTGGTGGACTGTGCTGGTTTGGGGATCTCTTTGTTCGAACCGCAAGCAAGTGGTTGAACTTAACTGGGGAGACTGGAGTTCAAGTCCAACCTCAGCTACTACTTTTAAGTCACTCTGGCTGAAGTAGAACTTCGTTCACTTCCCATAAGAAGAGCTTCCCGCATGTAGAAACCTTTCTCATTCAGATACAGCAAATTCCTTTCCTCCTACGTCCCGGCATGTTCTTCCTGTAGCAGAGTCTAAATTTGACAGATAAATTCAGGGTCCTGACAGGGTCATTTACCTCTCAGAGACACAAAGCATCTTTCCCCTTCCAGACACACACACACACACACACACACACACACTGCAGCATGCACAACTACTGTTGCCAGCATCTTTCTCTAAGCAACCATCCACACAAGGAATTTGCACCACTTGTTTCCACCGGCTGCACACGGTTTGAGTTCCAACAGCTCATTACAAGGCAAGGAGATAGATTCCAAAGCAGAATCAACACTTCACCAAAATAATAACCACTGTTGCACACCAGCCATCATTTTTATTTTCTTCCTGGGCGTGTTTGGCATGCAGGGAGGGCTGGTCATAACAACATGAATGGCAAAAGGTTGTTTGGTAGCCCCCACCCCCCAATCTTCCATTTTTAAATAAAAACCAATGTAAAAAGTCAAGGGGGCAAGGAACCTGGTGGACACCATGTAAGATCTCTGTGAGGAACTTCTCTGTCTCCTGGTACCAAGCTGATAGCACCTTGGCCATAAAAAATGGCAGATTGGCAAATAGTTAAGGAGAAGCAGGTAGATAGGTTTATTGGGTTTCTATTCTGCCTTGTGTGCACAGCCCTCCCTCCTCCTGTTTTTTCCAACAACAACCTTATGAGATAGTCTGGACTGAGAGAGAGGGGTTGGCCCAAAGTCACACAGGGTTCCATGGCTGTGGATGGGCTTAAACCAGAGATCTTACCTGATGTCCACCAGGTTCCTTGCCTGGAAGATTGGCAGGGAGGGCTACCAAACAACCTTCTGCCATTCATGTTTCTGTAACCAGCACCCCCTGCGTGCCAAACACACCCAGGAAGAAAATAAAAATGATGGCTGGTGTGCAACACCAGTGGTTATTATTCTGGTAAATTGCTGATTCAGCTTTGGAATTTATTGGCTTGCCTCGTAATGAGCTGTTGTAACTCAGAATGCCTGTATATTCTGACATCTTCACCACTGTATCACCTTAGCTCTCCAAGATAATCAGTTTTCCTTTCTCTTTCTCTATATATATCTATTGAGCATGAAACTGAGCAAACTCAGGGAGGCAGTGAAGGACAGGAAGGCCTGGCGCAATATGGTTCATGGGGTCACGCTGTTGTAACTCAGAATGCCTGTATATTCTGACATCTTCACCACTGTATCACCTTAGCTCTCCAAGATAATCAGTTTTCCTTTCTCTTTCTCTATATATATCTATTGAGCATGAAACTGAGCAAACTCAGGGAGGCACTGAAGGACAGGAAGGCCTGGCGCAATATGGTTCATGGGGTCACGAAGAGTCGGACACGACTTAACGACTAAACAACAACAACAACAATATATCTATTGAGTTATAAATTACTCTTTTCTTACATGCCCCTCCCAAGCATAGCCATGTGAGTTGGGTAAGAGGGGGCCTGGGGCAAAGTCACCCCCAGGAAGCTTCTGTGGCTGAGGGAGGACCAGAACCTGGGTCTCCTCACTCCTAGTGCAGCACCGACCACCCTGGCTCTTGGGGTTGAAAAGAAGGGTTGGCCCAAAGTCCCCAACAGAACTGCCATGGCTGAGGGGGGACCAGAACCTGGCTGTGGGTCTCTGTGCATATAGGTGTAGGCAGTTAAAGTCATGGAAAGAACTCCAATATTCAGCAGGATATCATCAGTGAAAGGAAGCATAAACAGGACAAGACGGTATTTGGAAAGAGGATAAAATTCTACACAAAGAAAGAAAATGAAGGAAAACTTCTGGGGAAGAAGGCGGAGAAGTTACAGTATGGACATAGCCTTTTATAGAAAAGGAAATATAGCAAATTTATAGGGAGCCATAGAAGATTTGAGAAATGATGTTGCATTCTGAAGATCATTTGCAAATGCTCTATCTATGTGCTTTCTACTTTTAGCTAAGATGACAGGACATGCCGGTAAGCACATTTTGCTGTATTTTCTTATTTTTGTCTTACTGTTTGAGTGAGAGATTGTAACTGTGAACTTCCAAACCCAAGATTAAACTTTTTGACCTTGGGGCACCTGGATAGCTGCCAGCAAGGCCAGGGGGAAAAGCCCAAAAATGTCTGCCTTGTCTACAGATTGAGAAGAGGGAAGAAAAGACCCACATGGGCTCACCATATGTATTAAGGTTCTTACGTAATAATAAACGTTTTACCCATATGCGAACACTTTGCTAGAAACCACAGAAGGGGGTAATTCAGGCGTTCTCCTTGAATTAGCTAAGGAAATGCAGATGAACCTTTGAAGTCTGAATAATTAGATTTGTAGAGGGTAGGGGAGGTTATATTTGTATTTTTTTAACCATGTTCTATTTTCATTATTGTCTGTTTTGAGAAGAACCTCATGGCAGAGGGTCAACATTTCTTTGGTGTTCAAAGTAGAGATCGTTGTCGCTGGAATCAATTTATCACACTAACAATAGTCTTTACTGCATGACAGTAGCAAAGTGAGCCTCATCTTATATGAAGGCTGCTCAGGGAATAAATAATGCCAAAGTTTGCTGCTTTATAGGCCATTCCTACAGCATCCCGATTCATTTGATAGAGCATGCTTTAATGACCACCCCAAAACCCGAAGTGGTGGCTTCATTTCCCATTGAGTACAGTACTGTGTTTTGCACCTAACATAAAGTGGGAAGGTATGTTTTACAGTGAAGTCATCTCCTTTATTTTATTAGGTTCAACTGGGGAAAGAAAGAAAGAAAGAAAGAAAGAAAGAAAGAAAGAAAGAAAGAAAGAAA